TTGAGAATAGTTTACATAATTTTTTTTTAAACAGGCTGCAGTGTATAGTACAGACTTTGTTGCAAATGGGGAATAGTGGTATTGGTCCATTTGACAGGACTGACTGATCCTCAGCTGATATTGGAGGTGTGAGGTTTTTTTTCATAGCAGAACATACTACGTATGATTGAGATCACATTTTTATCATTGGGCCAGTAATAACTTTTTATTTATGCAATGGTATGGGTGTGCATGGTGCTGTACAGACACATAAAAAATAGTAACCTGTCCTGAGTAGTTTGTAAAGTACCACAAATAGCACTGTGTCCGATTTAAAGATTTTTTTTTTTTTTTAAAAAAGGTATTTCCTGGGTTCATTGATAAAATAAAGTCCCAGAGACTCAGCTATGTCTGGAGGAAATTGGGTAGTAACTTGATTTATTTTTTTTTAAATCTGTATGGTACAGTACTTTAGTGTAATGCAAGTTAAAAATAAAGATTTCTGCATTTTGTGATATGTGCTGTTATGATTGAGCAGGGTAATTAGACAGCATATTGTTCACCAAACAAAACACTTCTGTGTGACATACTTGAATTATAGTGGTTATTAACTGACAAATCTCTATTATTCATCTTGCTGCATGCTTTAAAGATTGCTGGATCAGCAAGCTTAACAAATATCAATGGACAGTGCTGATTTAGACGAAATGTGTTGATATTTAATTGGTCTCGTTCTCTGTATTGAAAAGCGTAGCATAGTTTGTTATGCTGAAGTTAAGTAGTTAATTTTTGTTTTTATGGTGACTTACAGAAATATTTACCTTACCTATGAATAGATATTTTCAGCTAGTATCAAGTAGTGTAGCAAGCAGGTCCATGACAAGGACATTGACTAAATACTTGTAAAAACAATTTTTATTTAATAGTCTTTTAAAAATAATATTGAGCTTCAGGATAAACATAGCAGACAACTCATAATTTTTAATCTCATTAGCTATAGCCGGTATTATTATTTGTTTGTATTATACAGTAGTATTTAGAGGCTTCAGCAAAGATCATTGCTTCATTGTGTTCAAACACATAGTCCCTGCTCAAAGAGAACACAGTCTAACTAGACAAGACAGACTAAAAATAGGAGGGGAAACAGGCAAAGAGAGGTAAAGTGACTTGTCCAAGGTCACACCACAGGTCAGTTGCAGAGCTGGAGGTAGAACTCAGTCCACAGTCCTATCCACTGGACCACGCTAACTCTTATCATAGTATACAGTGTAAACTACAGTTCCTTAAAAGATGGTGGTAGCTACAGGAACACATGCAGTAGAGGTGGGTGCAGCATAATAAAAGCATAACTGCATCTGTTTGTGGTGGTCCTTTAAAGTTCATTTTTCTAGGGAATGAGGAAGTGCTGTTTGTCACACGAAAACCTTTCCATGACTCATTAATAAACTTTCTCTTTTCTTATTGCAGTTCTTTAGTAGGACACAGTATAACCTCAGCATGCTATTAAAGAAAAAATAGATTTTCTTGTGATTAAAAAATGCAAAATGACTTGTTGAAAAGCTTATAATTTCAGCAGCAAATGAGGCATGAAATATATTGCCAGAAATACAGAACCCAAATACACTGGCTGTAAATATTTTATTTTACAGACAATGTGCTAATTAAAGGCTTGAATTTAAAATGGGGCACTCTAAGTTTTCACAATAATAAAATTTGTCTAACAATGCTAGAGTGTATACTGTTAAGAACAGAATGTATCCAGAATGACAGTACACATTATTAAATTGTATCTTACTGAAGGTGGAACCTGGTAGAAGCTTTAGTAGTAAGTAGAGATGTCGTCTTGACTTTTTTTATAGGACCTTTTGTTTACTATGAAGTTTATTTTAGAACTTTAAGACCAAATAATAATGAGGCAGTGCTTTCAGAAAGCGCAGAGCAAGAGACTTGATACTGGAACAAGAACAGCTACATTCAAAAACTCTTCCCTTTTTTTTCCTTCTTCTTTGGTCCTTTTTGTTTTCATTTGGGTAATAGAGGTTTCCATTAGAAGGAGGAACTCTATTATAATTAGAGTTCTGCTGAATGCAATTCAGAAAACTAGGTACAAAAAATGTCTTAAAATAGCCTGAAAATCGCTACTTAACTGAACTTATTTGAGTTTGTTCAGCTTACAGCAGCTATTCTTCTATGAAATGAGGATCAATGTCAGCCCCAAATTTGAAGGATCTTAAAGCTGTCTGTCATAGAACATAAGAACGGCCGTACCGGGTCAGACCAAAGGTCCATCTAGTGCAGTATCCTGTCTACCGACAGTGGCCAATGCCAGGTGCCCCAGAGGGAGTGGACCAACAGGCAATGATCAAGTGATCTCTCTCCTGTCATCCATCTCCATCCTCTGACAAACAGAGGCTAGGGACACCATTCCTTACCCATCCTGGCTAATAGCCGTTAATGGACTTAACCACCATGAATTTATCCAGTTCTCTTTTAAACGCTGTTATTTATTTTATAGTTCTAGCCTTTACAACCTCCTCAGGTAAGGTGTTCCACAAGTTGACTGTGTGCTGCGTGAAGAAGAACTTCCTTGTATTTGTTTTAAACCTGCTGCCTATTAATTTCATTTGGTGACCCCTAGTTCTTGTATTATGGGAATAAGTAAATAACTTTTCCTTATCCACTTTCTCCACATCACTCATGATTTTATATACCTCTATCATATCCCCCCTTAGTCTCCTCTTTTCCAAACTGAAGAGTCCTAGCCTCTTTAATCTCTCCTCATATGGGACCCGTTCCAAACCCCTAATCATTTTAGTTGCCCTTTTCTGAACCTTTTCTAGTGCCAGTATATCTTTTTTTAGATGAGGAGACCACATCTGTACGCAGTATTCGAGATGTGGGCGTACCATCGATTTATATAAGGGCAATAATATATTCTCAGTCTTATTCTCTATCACCTTTTTAATGATCCCTAACATCCTGTTTGCTTTTTTGACTGCCTCTGCACACTGCATGGACATCTTCAGAGAACTATCCACGATGACTCCAAGATCTTTTTCCTGACTTGTTTTAGCTAAATTAGCCCCCATCATATTGTATGTATAGTTGGGGTTATTTTTTCCAATGTGCATTACTTTACATTTATCCACATTAAATTTCATTTGGCATTTTGTTGCCCAATCACTTAGTTTTGTGAGATCTTTTTGAAGTTCGTCACAGTCTGCTTTGGTCTTAACTGTCTTGAGCAGTTTAGTATCATCTGCAAACTTTGCCACCTCACTGTTTACCTCTTTCTCCAGTTGAATAGGGTCGGTCCGAGGACTGACCCTTGGGGAACACCACTAGTTACCCCTCTCCATTCTGAGAATTTACCATTAATTCCTACCCTTTGTTCCCGGTCTTTAACTAGTTCTCAATCCATGAAAGGACCTTCCCTTTTATCCTGTGACAGCTTAATTTACATAAGAGCCTTTGGTGAGGGACCTTGTCAAAGGCTTTCTGGAAATCTAAGTACACTATGTCCACTGGATCCCCCTTGTCCACATGTTTGTTGACCCCTTCAAAGAACTCTAATAGATTAGTAAGACACGATTTCCCTTTACAGAAACCATGTTGACTATTGCTCAACAGTTTGTTTTTCTATGTGTCTGACAATTTTATTCTTAACTATTGTTTCGACTAATTTGCCTGGTACCGACCTTAGACTTACCGGTCTGTAATTGCTGGGATCACCTCTAGAGCCCTTTTTAAATATTGGCGTTACATTAGCTAACTTCCAGTCATTGGGTACAGAAGCCGATTTAAAGGACAGGGTACAAACCTTAGTTAATAGTTCCGCAACTTCACATTTGAGTTCTTTCAGAACTCTTGGGTGAATGCCATCTGGTCCCGGTGACTTGTTAATGTTAAGTTTATCAATTAATTCCAAAACCTCCTCTAGTGACACTTCAATCTGTGACAGTTCCTCAGATTTGTCACCTACAAAGGACGGCTCAGGTTTGGGAATCTCCCTAAAATCCTCAGCCGTGAAGACTGAAGCCAAGAATCCATTTAGTTTCTCCGCAATGACTTTATCGTCTTTAAGTGCTCCTTTTGTATCTCGATCATCAAGGGGCCCCACTGGTTGTTTAGCAGGCTTCCTGCTTCTGATGTACTTAAAAAACATTTTGTTATTACCTTTGGAGGTCCCATGAGGAATGTCCATAAAATACTAAATGTGGCTTGGAAAGAAAGAAAAAAAGGACCACTTCATTTCTAAGAGATGCAGAAATAATTTTGTGAAGAAAGTGCTGTGTGTGAATGATGGTATAAGGAGTCCACTTTATGGTTTCTGGATGTTATGAAATGATCCGTACTTCTGTGGAATTGTTAGTTTAGATTGTGTTGCAGTATCTGCAGGGGTGAAAGCTGTCACCAGAGTTAACATGGGTGTCTGCACATCCATTGTCTGAGTGGTTTTTTAAGCTAAGAAGGTCCTTTTCGGAATGCCCCTCTGTGATCTGCCCTTTATAATAAGGTAATGAGGACTGGAGGTGCTTTCCTCCAGAGACTTTTGTTGATCTTTCTGTTAGCCACACGGGTCTTTGTAGAAGAAGCACTGCAAACACACTCTGCTAACTTCTTCAAAGTTCCGTGTGACTGAAGTTGATGAGGGCTTTGCCATTAACCTCAGTGGATGCCATAATCAGACCCATTGTGAACTGCCCCTGTCATGTGCTCTGCTCCTGACGATCAGGGGAATGTGGGACCTGAGTTTGGATCTCTTTAGTGGCATTACACTGTACGGCTGGTCAGCTCTGAAGGCTTTCTAAATAGAACTTGATTCAAGCAAAGCTTAAATGACTATCTACTGAGCTATTTATTGGTTTCATCAGCATAGCAAACTGTCTTATGTCTCCTAAAGAAGTACTTAGAGATTTCTGTGGCTGATTAATTGCAACAGTTTGCTAGATAAGAATAAAGACAAATGATTATTTAAACCTGCTTATGTACCATGACTTTTTCTTCCTTGATTGTGGTAGAATGCCAGCTGATGAAGACAGAACGACCTAAACCAAACACATTCATCATTAGATGCCTCCAGTGGACTACAGTAATTGAAAGAACATTTCATGTGGAGACTCCAGAGGAGCGGTATGTTTCATTCATATTTAATACATAAACTACTTGCAAAAGCAGATGTGAATGTTCAGCGCTATTAGTGCAGTCCTTGCAAAAGCTCTGATTTCTCAGGTGACATAGGTCTAGACTCTAATAGGTTTACGTTTTCAAAAGCACAAATGATAATGGACGTCACAATTTTGGGGTGGTCCAACCTGAGAGACCTTTGGCTTGATTTTTCAGAGAGTGGGTGCTCAGCATTTTCTGAAAACCAGGCCCCATACTAGTTGTTGATTTCCGGGCTCTCATCACATAAGAAATTAAAGGTTCTCCCACCTTGAGATTACTGGGGAGAGGTCAGCACAAAGCAAAACAAAGACCCCAGCAGAGTTTAGCTGTCTCAGCCTACTGACCCTTTTTGAGGACACCTTTTAAGGAACAAGTTAATTGTATTGCTGCCACCTGCTAATGGGTTATGTAAATAAGATGATAAAAGTGATGACAGAGAAGTACTATGCTGCTGCAGGAGACTTGTATTTCAGCTGTTGAAGGAAACAGAGCTAAAGAATGTATCCTGTACTCTGACTAGTGGAGAATTGATCTCTTACCTCCTGAGAGAACAGAATCCCAGCGTAGCTATTTACAGCAACTGGCTGTTTAAATATTTAAATTGCAGTTCAGCTGTTGAATTTAGATTATTCTGGTATCATTGTGGGGTATTTAAAATCCCAGTCCTCCCTATGTATGACACAGGCACAATATTTGTCTGTAAGCTCAGCACATTTTTACCTGGTTCTCTTAGCTTATTTTCTACTTAGTCTTTCATTCATTGATTCGAGTTGGTGTCATATTTGTAGCTTATGATTCTGTTATGATGACATGGGGAGGATGAAAACAAACTAAAGCAAAGAAAAGTAAATTATGTGTTTTCTTTTATTGCTTTGTAGCAAATGGCACCCAAAGTGACTGAGACACCTTCATTTCAAGGAGATTGCATTTCAGTCTTATTTTTGTCCCTCCCAACCAATTAGGCTGCATCCAGGGTAGATAAAAATCGGATTTTTTTAATTTAAATTGGATTTTTTTGATAAAATGCTTTTTGAGGAAAAAAACTATCTAAAGATAGTTTTAATTAAGATACATTATAGCTCAAAGATATCTCATAATGGAATAGGGATTATAAATTCTAATTCTATAGTATTAGACAATATATTCATGTAATGTTTAAGAAAAGTTTTGTAAATGAGTTCCAATAGTTCATGGATTAGGGACCCAATCTTATAGGGTTCCAGGGGCTTCTGTATAGATTATTTAGGTTAATCTTTCTATCTACCCAATGGGACTCAGTGCTCAGTCTAGAAGATACCATCAGAGATGCTTAGTTTTGCGGTTCTCAAACTGTGGATTTGTGTCTCCAGAGGTAACATGCTTGTTAACAGCAAAAATGTTTTTAAATAAATAAATAAATAATATAGAGAGGTGAGAAATAACAGACCTCAACTCTATTGTCCCTCTGCAAATTTGTGTAGAGAGAGTCAATCCCTTACCTCAATCTAAAAGTGCAAAGTTTCCAAAAGTTCAATGAGTAGAAGATTGTTGGGGGCTGAATAGATCTGGACAAGGAGAAGAAGTCTGGAGATAAATGTGAGAAGTGAGGGACATATGCTTGTTTTGTTAAAATATTGTATGTTTGCTGTTGAAGAAAAAAATCCAGAATTCTTAACGTTGTTTTAGTTAAATAAAACAATTTAAATGTCTGTCTGGTGATGTTCTCCTCCTAATACAGCATGACAAGAAAATCCTCCAAATATTAATGATTAACCTGTTGAATTGGAGATAGTTCGCCTCCCAATGACTTCATAAATATCTGCTTCAATTACCTTTGGTAAATGAAATAACCAAACAATCATTCATTTTCTGATATAGCTGTAAAACTAATCTGAAAAGTTTTCAAAATAAATCATGGTTTAAAAATGTATAGTGTGTTCCTTCTAAAAATGAAACCTACATCTATTTCTGAGTTGTGAAGAATATGTGTTAAGGTTATAACAACCAACAAGAATGCACTTTTATGTAGAAAACCATGATTAAATCGAGTCTTCCTGACTAGTGATTTAAATCAAATCCACCCTGGCTGCATCACAGCCTGGGACTGCTCATACTAGTCATCTCTGCAACATACGTTTGGGAGATAGTCTAAAGGTTCATCTACACTTGCGTTGGCGTGTATTATACACTCACTGCACGCCCAGCTAGCATGGGTATAAATAGCAGTGTAGACGGCTTAGGTGACTAGAGTAGAGTGCCCTACACACCTGAACCGCAAGGTATATACTGTATGTGGTGCTCTGCATGCCCAAGCAGTGCTTTCCATATCAACACTGCCATTTTTAGCAGTGTAGCATCCTGCTGTTGGAGCCTTTTCCTGCTGCAGTGCCTGGGGAAAGGCTCCGTCAGCAGGGATCTGCCGGAACCTTTCCCCACTCCCAGAGCCTTTCGCTGCCTCGTGTAACTATACACTGCAGTGAGTGTAGACACAGCCTGCCTTTCACTGTGGTTTCTAGCTACACGTAGCCTACATGCCTCCGCCAGTGTAGACAGGATCTAAGGGTGAAATCCTGGCCCCAGTGAAGTCAATGGCATTTCACCCACAATCAATAAAAGAGAGCTAAAATTAGACTTACAAGGAGATGTAGCTTTTGAACATCCTTTTATCCTTTAAACCCAAAAGCTGCTTTTAAGAGGGAAATGGAGAAATGTGAACACAAATGGAGGAAGGATGTTTTCTTTGTAATGGTTATTTTTAATGTTTAGAGGTGGGGCATAAAGGCAGGCATTCCTGATGTTGAAGAAAAATCTGTGCCTTTGTTCAGAAACTGTTATTCCGTGTGCAAATGTGACCTGCTTTCCCACCTCTTGGCATCTCAAGGGCCTCACCTCAAGACTCCAGTGTCTGAGGAGCTTCTGAGAAAGGGTTGATCGTGCAAGTTAAGGTTGCCTGGACAAAATCCACAGGTTTTGCTAACTTCACTCCACATCTCTTTGAGGATAGGCAGATATTCTCCAGACAGAGAATACTAAATTGGACGTAATTTGCCTAAAGAAACTAGATAGGACAACTGTATTATTCAGACAGTGAAAAATTCAAGGTACTGCAGGGCGAGAGTGAGGGGTGTACAAGGTATTGCCAGTGTAGCTGCTATAGTTTTAATTAGAATTTTATGCCAGATACTCTGTCTTGCCTGGACCTTGTATTTGTTTTTTCCTATTTTATTTTTCAAATTGAAGTCCAGCTGTTTTGAAAGATGTACTTCTAAAGCTAATTTTTTCAGTGGCCCTTCAGAAATGCACCTGGGAAACATATCTCCCCAAATTCTGTGTGTCTGCCTGTAAACTACTTACTGTAGCGTGTTCACTCTAGTGCATATTTGCAGGTGCAGTTGTGGAGGCGTATTTGAAAAATGTGACCCTTGGTATGTTACGATGAAGTGGACACAGCAGTATCTGCATTTTAAATATTTTTAACACTTGCTTCTTATTAGGAAGATCTTTTGAAGAAATATCAATGTAATAATGGGAGCCTGTGGTGCAGAGTCACTCCAGAATTTTAGAATTAAATGTATTAATTACTTTTCCCTGTCTAGCTGTAGGGTGGGATTTTCCAAAGTGTTCAGCATTGGTCTCTCTCTGCTCCAATTGTAGTTACTGGGAGTTTTTTTTACCTCTGACTTAGTGGGAGCAGAGTTAGGCCAATGCCAAATACTTTTGAAAATCTTTTGTAAATTGGATATTCCGTGCAGTATTTATTATTATGTTAATCACAGAACATTTCACATGTAGCTGTTTCAATATTGACTAAATAGGTTGCTAAAATGTGGGTATTGATGTTAATTGGTGAAGCAGTTTCATTCAGCAAAGATTTCTGAAATTCATCAGCTTTTCAGTGGTGTTTCCTTTGGCTTCATTCTGTTCTTTGTCAGGAATTGTGCTGTAAATACATCTAGAAAATGAAGTCTATGGAAACAGTTTAAAAGGAAGCATGTTCCTGTTTTCAGCTCTATCCTGGCTTCAGTCAGTGAATACTGCTTACCAAGTTCAAATTTTATTTTAAGGACAAAGAAGTGGGCCTGTCCAATAGGTTTACAGGGCTTTTCACAGCCATTTAGAATATCTAACTTCCATTTTTTGGCTCTTGTCCACTGGTATCAAGAGTTTGGGTGTATTAGGGACATAGCGAGCTCATCTCCTAAGGGCTTGTCTGCAGGCCAGGGTGTGTTAATTAACCTCTTCTAATCATGACCTTTTTCCTAGTGTCTATATATTGCAACACCTTTTAACTTGACAGAGCAGGTCAAGGTGAAGGATAGGCTTTTTACCTGAGTACACCTTCACCTGCTTATTTGAAGTAGAAGGCACTGCAGTTTGTCCAGGGTAGGAAAAAGGTTGTGGCTAGACTGAGGTAAGTTAATAAACCAACTGAATCGCAATCCATTTTTCTAATGTAGGTAAGTGCTCAGTAGAAACCTCTTAAGGTTCACCAAAAAAACCCAACACTTTTTCCTTCACTGCTAATTACCACTTTTGTCAATCTGCCGATACCCAAACTTAATCCACTTTATTTTTTGTTTTGGCCTTTCTAGCAAGTTGGGAGTAGGGATGAGGGAAAATACCTGACATAGTTACAAATTTAAAATAAGCTATTGTTTGTATGCCAGTTGTTGTTTTGGTAGACTTTCATTGAAATGAACCAGAATGGCAAGAACATTCACTCCAGTAGCTTCCTACAATGTGAAATTCCCCAGAAGACACTTTCACTGCAATTGGAGTTGTTTCCAAAGGAATAGAGAGGCAGTAGTAGAGCATGCATTGCTGAAACAATTGTGGACACTTTTCTGTAACCTAGTACCTGCATCTAAGATCAAAAATACTATTTTTGGGGGGGGAGGGGGGAAATCCCAAAGCAGGGAGAGAACAACCAACAAAAGCAGAGATATTTTGTTAAACGCTACAGCTGTATTGTATACAAGCATTGCAACACATTTAGTGTCTTCTCTGACAGCCCAAGAACCCTGGGCAGTGTTATCTGGTAGTGGAAAACATATATTCATTTAAAAAATGGCATGTGTGTGTGATGAGTTGTCACTATGTGTCGAACTCTTGCATATTTTTGTTACAACGTACTGTGAAAAAGCGAGGGTGTGTTAAATAGCTCTGTGCTGTGGAGGTGCCTTGTAGCTTTTTGGCTTTGGCAGGCCTAATGTTGAGATGTAATGTGTGTATCCTTAGACGATGTGTTGCCCTAAAGATTGAATGTGCATTTTAGAAATTTTGCTATATATTGAAGGTCGTCGTTATTGTATTCATATTGCAGGGACTTTAGTCATCTCCTGTTTCTAAAACAATTAATAGCTGTAATAATGGATATATACATTAAAAGTGTTTTTTTGAACACCAACTTTTATGTCTAAAAACACATGGGATTTTTCACCATTCATTGAATTGGTTTGACATTATCAGATAATCACGCTTTATTCTTTTGTGACTCTTGCCGAGGCAGATGGTAATCTGAGGTCATGAATAACAAATGTCATTGCTTACATTTTCTCAGGGAAGAATGGACAAAAGCCATCCAAACAGTAGCAGACAGCCTTAAGAAACAGGAGGAGGAAATGATGGATTTTAGATCTGGTTCCCCTAGTGATAATTCAGGTGCTGAAGAAATGGAAGTTTCTATGACAAAACCAAAACATAAAGTGGTAAGTTAGTATAGCAGGATCAGTATTTTAAAAGGGAACCTTGTTACATGTGCACACCTAGCTGATGCCACAGCTCCAAGCTTTGAGTCCAGCGTCAGCTGTCGGCCAGTAATCCTTTAGATCCTGAATAATTATAAGGGAAGGAGCACTATTAGGTGTATTGAATGCAAGCCAGAGGCAGCCATTAAGACCCGCTTTCCCTCTCTTCCCCCGCCCCCCATAACACTATATTTGTTTCTGAGAAGATCCTACCCTGTAAATTATAGTAAGGCTTTTTTCTATGCCCTTGCCTCTCTTTCTTTCATTTGTTCCCAGAGTTGTGCTTGTGTTTTGGGAAAATGAACCAAAACAATGGACAGCAAAAGGATCATGCCTGTCAAATTGCATCATTAATGAACATGCACTATAGGCTTTGACGCTTGGTTATGCTACAAAATTACATTTATACCAACCTGGGCAACTACCCGTATGCCACTCTGAACCACGGCTGCCATCAGTTTAATATGACCCCTACTAATTGGGCCCTTAGCATCTTGCCGGAGGATTCCAATAGGATGCTGCAGGTGAATTTTAAAAGGACCTCACTAGCTTAGCCAGTGTGCCATGGAGGTGGTGGAGAGTTTCTCAGCTATGGTGAGCTGATTCACTCTGAGCAAGGATCGGTCTGAATGACTGTTTAGATCAGGGGTAGTCAATAGGTGGTTCATGGGCTAAATCCAGACTGCCAGACGCATTTGAACGGACCCCGAAATCTTTTTATTTACTTCTTATTATCATCATTGTTGTTGTTGTTTTTGAATGATTTTCTCTGGAGTCTGGACCTTGACTATATCTTGACCAAGACATTTGAACCTTGACAAAGAAAATTGACTACCCCTGTTTAGATCCTGAAACCAATTGTCCCACACAACCAAAAGGACAGTCTTGCTTTTGTTAATGCAGTTCAAAGTGAACTAAAGCAGTCCTAGCAGAGCATGCAGTGTGGCAGTAGAGTTTGTCATGCTTTCAGCCAGGGAGCAAGAAAGCTGTTAGCAGGAGCATCTCGTAATCCTTTCTAGCAAGGAACTTGTGAGACCCTGGATACACAGACCTTCTGTCGCCCCCTTGGCACTGCCCCTTGAAGATGCTGGAATAGGATCCTCGAGACCAACCCTTTCCTATTTTCCCTCCGCCTTTTCTAATAGAAAAACAAACAAGAAAGAGAAAGATAGTCCGTGTGCAATGTGGTTTCTGCACATTTTCTGGCACCGTTCCATGGGTCACAGCAAGGCTGATCCCCCATAAATATGGGGAGACTTATTCTCATGTCAAAACTTCAGAGCGGGAATCGGACTGACAGATCTTTAGAATGAGATGTGGGTGGCCTTCCCAAGCTTACTCACTGACACAGGCTGCATGGCCAAAACACCTATTTTGGCTCTTACCTATTTCACGTGAAGAAATTCTCAGTTAAATAGAGGAGGGTTTTTTTCTTTTAATAAGCAATTCAGTGGGTTTGAAGTGTCATATCCTTGGAAGTGTAACAATCATTCTTTTTGAAGAACTAGTTTCTGATTTTAACTCTCTAGTAGCAAATCATAAACGGTATACGCATCATTTTAACTGACCAAAACAGTCACTTCATCCACTTTAGACACTATTTACATGTATTATGAAGTTGGTCATGACCGATTTTTAACTTAAATATCTTTAACAGACCATGAATGAGTTTGAATACCTTAAACTACTGGGAAAAGGCACTTTTGGGAAGGTCATTCTAGTTAAAGAAAAAGCAACTGGACGATATTATGCTATGAAAATCCTGAAGAAGGAAGTTATTGTTGCAAAGGTGAGTAAATTAGAACATTCTGGGCCCAATTCACCCCTGGTGTAACCCTCTAGCTTCTAGAGAGTGACTTCAGAGTTGTAATTTGCAACTTGTGTAAGTGACTACTTATTTGTTGTTTTTAATGGAACTCTTGTTCTTTAGCGATTGCATTGATAACTTTCTCTGGGGGGCATTGCAGGATGAAGTAGCGCACACGCTGACAGAAAACCGCGTTTTACAGAATTCTAGGCATCCATTCTTAACAGTAAGTGTTCCTCCTTTTTTAGTACATCTGGTAAGCAAATTCAGCATTGTGACAGCTACGGCTGTCCTCCTCATTATCATGATGATAAAACAAGTCTCACAGGTCTAGGTTTTTAACAGTAACTAGTGTTTTGGGGTACCTTGATTTTTGGGGTGCACAACTTGCGACGTTTTCAAAGATCCTGATTTTCAGAGGGTAGATGCGCAGCGCTTTATGGTGTCTCAGTTTGGGCCCCCAGAATCATTAGTCACTTTTGAAAATATGCCATAGACTGGACACAGAACAGTATATGTTTGTTTACTTTTTATTACGGAATACTGTCAGAGTTGACAAACCACAAACTCCACCAGAATGTTATTGATTCAAATGTGCCACCTAGTAATGCAGATTGACATGGTTGTTTGTATATAATTGTATGCTTGCATAAATCAAAATATATCTGCAAAGCAAAGGGCTGCAACTGCCTGGCTTGAAAACCCAGCTGTAAGCCTTGGTCATGACCCTAACAAAATAAATCCAAGGGTGTGGCAAACAAGCTGGTGGGATGTGTGATGCAGGGATGCACATGATACAAGTGGATGAAGGCACTTCATGACATTTCATCACTCTCCCTGCCTGTTCTGTTTTTTGTGAATTGATGGTAAATGCATATTGACAGAATTTCTCAATCCCCTGGCTGGCTGTCAACCTGGAGCAGTAGCAGCAGCAGTAGAGAAAGCAGAAGGGACAGAGATATAACCATCCAATAGTAATATAACTCTTTGACAATTTTTGCAAGTGTTATCCTTGTGTGTTTTTCCAGAATTGATCCCTACGTTAGTTAAACTCCCATATCTGACCTATATGTTGTTTTAGTAAAACCACCATGGGATCAGTGTTGAAGTGCTGGTGAAGAACCTATCAGAGAGAAATTTCTATAAAATATTGCTATATTGTTACAATATAATGTATTTTATCTCTATCCCTGTTTCTAAAACTTCGCTGAAAGCACTTTTGTAAACCTTGATGTGGGATCTCTGCTAAGTCTTTGTTTAAATTTGTTTCAGGCTTTAAAGTATTCCTTTCAGACACATGATCGTTTGTGTTTTGTTATGGAGTATGCTAATGGAGGAGAGGTAAGGAAACCACGTTAAAAGGCTTTGGGATTTTCCTGTATTTTTTTTTATTCAGTTTCACGTTAGGGTTTGCTGGCTTTGAGCCCTCATTAACTTACTCATATACGTAGTAGTCCTACATCAGTGGGGCTGTTTGCATGAGTTAGGACTACATACATAAGTAAGGGTTTTCAGGGATGAGTCCCTAATTAACAAAATTACACTAATATCTTCAAATCTGTCTTTTATTGGTGCAGGAGGTTTGTACATTGTGATGCTGCTTTCTAGTTTCTCTACACCATTGAAGCTTTTTGTATATAATTTCAAAGAACACAGTACTTTGAGGACAGAGCTGTAAATGAAAACACATGCTGTTAGACATTTCAGAAGAAGAGAAATCCAATTTACATCAAATAAGGAATCTCCTGCTTTTAAAGTCATGCAATAAAAATCTGGTTTAATAAGTAACTAGCTAAGAAAATGTTTTGATTTGTCTTAGTTGTTTATATATACTGACAAAAATTAACAGTACATCAAATTGTCAAATAGAGCAGCTGTGAATTTGAAATATATTATTACATTTATGTTTAATCATTTAATTTATGATGCAGCTTTTAGAATGTCTCTGAGCAGAGCTGTGTCAGGGAGAAAAGGTTCCTTTCTGGATTAATTCTGATTCCAGGCAGGATTGTCTATAAAGTATAGTACATAACTCAGAAGTATGTGCATTCTAAATGTAATAAATTCTTGCTGTTGTAGTTGTTTTTCCATCTGTCAAGAGAGCGTGTCTTTTCTGAAGACCGGGCTCGGTTTTATGGAGCTGAGATTGTATCAGCACTGGATTACCTGCATTCAGAGAAGAATGTGGTTTATAGAGATTTAAAGGTACTTAGAAGACTGTTAATTTCATAGGCTATTAAAAATGGGTTTGGACTGTTACAGTTCTTAAAGTCACAGAAGCTGATTATACTGAAATACAATAAACCTATCCACCAAACTTTGTTATAAAAGAAATATTACAGCTATATTATTGTCGGCCGTGATTGTTATAAGATCTCAAACTAAGCACTTGAGTACAAGTACAAGGTGCTGCAGAAAGTGTACTTTTGGGATTGATTCCCTCCGAGTGTGTGGAACCTGTGCCTTGGTAGAATATGAAGGGCCACTCTGTTATTGGGGATGCATCTCCACATGGATATGTAATTAAAGAATTGACCACTTTATTATCAAAAAGACCCCCTGGTAGTTCTTCTAAGCAATGGGAGGGTATTTGTGGTGTCTGGTCAATTTCCCACTCTATGTACAAATTCAAACTATGTGAACATTCTGCTCCCTTGCCCTATTTTTCACTTGCAGTTAAAACTGGCTAAGTTTTCCCTTGCTTTTCTGTTTGGGAGGAAAAATGAATCATACAAACTTTTGTGTTCTTTCTCATTAAGAATGATGGCTGCATTCCCTCACCAGAAGTGTATGAGAAGTGCTATTACTATGCTTTCAGTCCACAGTTAATTTTAGGAGCTATCTAGATGAAAGGTGCTAGGTATATAGGGATGTGGATAAACTGGAGAGAGTTCAGAGAAGAGCCACGAGAACGATTCAAGGTTTAGAAAACATGCCGTATAGCGACAGACTCAGGGAGCTCAATCTAGTTAATTTACCAAAGAGAAGGTTAAGGGCTGACTTGATTACAGTCTATAAGTGTCTACACAGCGAACAAATATTTAATAATGGGCTCTTCAATCTAGCAGAGAAAGATATAACAAAATCCAGTGGCTGTAAATTGAAGCTAGACAAATTCAGTCTGGAAATAAGATGTAAATTTTTTTAACAGTGAGAGTAATTAACCATTGGAGAACCTTACCAAGGTTCATGGTGGATTCTCCGTCACTGACAATTTTTAAATCAAGATTGGATGTTTTTTTCTAAAAGATCTGGCTTACAAATTATTTGGGGAAGTTCTATGGCCTGTGTTATATAGGTAGTCAGACTAGATGATCACAATGGTCCCTTTTGGCCTTGGAATCCATGAATATTCAAGCTGTTATGAAATTCAGTAGGAGTTAAGCACCTGTCTCTCTGAGGCTCCTTTGAAAACCCCACCCTATATCATAAGTTCTGTCAGCATATAGAACTTATTTTCATGAACTATGGGTAGTTCCATCAGAAATGGGTAGTACCAGCATTCTCTCAGTTTTTAGATAATTGCCAAATTTTGAGTAAATTTACAGCATATTTACCATGCACAGTATGATATTGTAAATTGATCCCTTAGCTTTAAATTGATTAATTGTTTTTGTCACTGCTGCTAGCCTCTGTTAGTACTGAAATGACCTATGAAAGATGCTCTAAGTAAAAGCAGGGGCAGAGTAGTTTCTTGGTTGTTTTTAAATTTGTGCTTTTGCTGACTAAAACATTTACGTATCAGAGGGGTAGCCGTGTTAGTCTGGATCTGTAAAAGCAGCAAAGAGTCCTGTGGCACCTTATAGACTAACAGACGTATTGAAGCATGAGCTTTCGTGGGTGAATACGAAGTGCATCCAACGAAGTGGGTATTCACCCACAAAAGCTCATGCTCCAATACGTCTGTTAGTCTATAAGGTGCCACGGGACTCTTTGCTGCTATAACATTTAAGAAGCTTAGATGTAGTATGACTATTTTCTATATTCTCACTATATGTATGTCAACTGCCCAATGATCTCAAGTTACTTTGCTGAAGTTATCCCTAAGGGAAATGATGTAAATGTATATTTACATGATACGTGCTTTGGTAGCTAGTATAATTCTTATCCCAGGGTGAACAGGGCTGAAAAGAATAACCTGCAAAAATCCAAGTATCTTACAAACTCACTCGTGTATGGATTGTGTATCTAATGACCATTTTACTTTGGATTTTTATCTAAGTTGGAAAATCTTATGCTGGATAAAGATGGACACATAAAAATAACAGACTTTGGGCTATGCAAAGAAGGTATCAAGGATGGAGCAACAATGAAGACTTTCTGTGGCACTCCAGAATATCTTGCACCAGAGGTACCTTTATTACACCTATTGTACCCAACTATATTCTTAAATAAATGCCATTCTTGAGATAGCAGAGTTGTTATTAAAAATTTCCTGTACTAACTACGCTTTATTTGTAAAAATGTGTATATTTTATTTTATGACATAGATAAAAGCCTTTTTATTCCTTGTTCTGCAAAATTTCTTTAGTATAGAGAAATGTTAAATTTTTTCGCATAGGTTATTTTCTTTAATCTGTGCACCTTTAAGAGGAGAAGTACAGTTCACTTCCTGGAGTATATAGAAGTTATAATTATATAGCAGGGTGTATTTTTATATTAAATTTTTAAAATTAAATAGCTATAGAAAAATATATTGAATCTACTTCAAATCCTTTTAAAAATTAAATGAGTAATATTTGTGATGGATGTGGAACTGCTCTATATAATAATTTATGAACGCTGTCTGTTGATGTGGTTATTGGGATGCTCCCTGTGTGAATATATTGGTCTAATTTAATAGGGGTCTGTAAGAAAGAACAAGCAGGCTGGGGAATAGCATGGCTCAAGACAAGCCACTTCTCAGCAAACACTTGAGAGACATTTAGAGACAACTCCAGGACAGGAATAGTCCTGGAAAGCAGAAGATCAAAAGGACTGTGGCAGGGTTGAAAAGGAAAACTTGAGGAATGCAGGGAGTGGTGGTTAGGAGGAAGTTGGTCCAGGGGAACCAGATTGAGGGATAGGCACCCAAAGGGGGTATCTGAAGAAGTTACCCTCTTAGGTTACCATAAGAGGATGGTAAGGCTTTAGGTAAGATAGAACAGATTTTAGAACATAAGTCTTTTTCAAGTGATGTCCCTGTGGGTGCTTGTGCGCCCCTGTGCCTCTAGTCGGAGAATTTTGACAGCAGTACCCATTTGGGCTGCACATGCACTCTCCTTGTATTGTGCCTGTAGCGGCAGTTAACTAGCTGCCAACCCCCTGTCAGTGCCGTCTCAACTGCCCTTGGTCCGAGTCAGAGCTTCGGCAGTGCCTCTGTACGACTTACCTTTAAATTTAGGATTAGCTGTATAGTGTAGTAGATTGAATAGTTAGGTAGAATTCGTTTCCTATCCCTTTCCCTTTCCCTTTTCTTTTTTCTCTCCATTTAAAAAAAATATTTTTTACTTTGTTTTCATTCATCCCTCTCAGGGATAATTTTACCCGTAAATGCCCGGGTCTCCAGGCTTTAAACGTTGCCTCTCCTTCCGAGAGGCAATTCCAGTCTCGGATAGACATTCCTAGTGTGTCTGCTGCTTGGGGGAAATGCATGTATCTCAGAAGTGCTGTCATTGCCAAAGCAAGGGGCCTTAAACCCATCCTCATGGAGAAATCTCTCCACCCAGCTTCCGATCCGGGATCACAAAACTCCCGGTCGCACATCTCAGCTTATGACAGACTTCCCTCACTGACTCTGCACGAGAAGGACCTGTCTCCCAGAAAAAGGACGAAGAAGAGAGCTACCACTTCTCTTATGAAAGGAGTCTTGAAAAAGAAGTGTTCTCCAACTCTCCATATTATCAGTACGAATCACGCCATGACTAAGTACCTACGAGTCAGCAGGATCTTCCAGTAACACTAAAGCCAAAGACCCTAAGCGGGCAGGCTCTCAGAAGGATGGCAGAGACAAGACTACCCCTTCTACCATGACACCGACTGCAGCAACTAAACACTCGGTACTGAGCACCTCTGCAGTGCCTCAGCTTATGGCGCCATCTCCTGGCCCTCTGGCACATAGTGCAGAGACAGCGGTACCAAAGTCTACTTTACGTCCTTCGGTACAGACACGATCAGCACCAATTCTCCTGGTGGCGCAACACCTCCTGGTACCACAACAATTCCCGGCACTGCAACAATTACAGATTCCATCTTTGGTATGGAGATCTCTTGGAACGCAACAGTTTTTCCGACATAAGGACTTAGTGGTTGCTGCGGCACCAGAATCACCTCTTCTCGGTACTGATATAGCACCAGTACATTCAGCACCGTTACACAGACAAACAAACAGATCTGCCTCTCCTTTTTCCAGGGAGAAGGAGGACGATGAGGAGGGAGATGTTTATTCCTCACACCACTCTTCACCCATCCAGGGAATCGACAGACCAGATCTTTAGGAACAGCCAGGACACCGCTCCAGAGCTGGCACTCAGGGGTGGTATTGACATCCATGGATGCCACCACCAGTGTCATTCCTGCCACAGTGGCCATATTGGGACCCGTAGACAACATTACTACAAGCCTCCCAGTACCTCCAGGGAAAGGCAGAGACACTCCCCATCAGCGTCACAGGAGGGGCCCCCGTGAGCTCCCTGAGGAGACTTGAGGAAACAGAGGAGGCTCTAGATTAGGAGGCCACTTCTGCAACTAACACCTCCTGTTCCTCTCCAGATGAGACTATCATGCCTCTGCTACCTACAACGGAGACGATTTAAAGCAATTTCAGGGGCTGTTTAAAAGAATTGCAGACACGCTTCAAATCCCCCTGGAAGAGGTTGCTGAGTCCCAGTACAAGTTGGTGGATATATTACACACGTCAGCCTCCTGCAAAATAGCCCTTCCTATAATGAGGTACTCATGGATTCTGCCAAGACCAGCTGCCAGACACCCACAATAATCCCCCCTCCTAGTAAGAGGGCGGATAAGAAGTGTTGCGTCCCATTGAAGGACCTACAATTCTATTTTCACATCCCCAGCCAAACTCATAGAAGCTGTCAACGAGCAGGGCAGACAACACTATTCGAGGACCACCCCATATGACAGAGTGGAAAAGATTGCATCTTTTTGGTCGCGAGGCCTATTCATCAGCAACATTGTAGTTCAGAATAGCCAACTATGAAGCCTTGATGGCGAAATACAATCACACAAAATACTCCAAACTGTTTGAATGTATTGACTTTATCCCTGAAGACAAAAAGGAGCAATTTAGGTCAGTCATTTCTGAAGGCCATCTCCTGGCAAGAACAGATCTGCAGGCATCCTTAGACTCAGCAAACACAATGGCAAGATCTATTGCAACTGCCATAGTAATGCAATGTGCCTCTTGGCTCCTCCTGTCTGGATTCCCAAAGGAGGTGCAATCCACCAGAGAGGATCTTCCCTTTGAAGGTCCAAAATTATTTGCAGGTAAGACCAACGAGTCCTTCCATGCATTGAAAGATTCTAAAGCAACTCTTTGGTCTTTAGGCATCTACACACTTGCACAAAAATGAAAACAGGGCATATATTACCCATCACAACACTCAAGACCAGTGCCTTACACACAACCGCAGAGGCAGTATGACGCCCAGAGGCGGAGGCAAAGAGCCACAAGATGTAGGACACTCCCATCTCAATCTCCTACATCACAACAACCTGGACCGAAACATCAAATTTGATGGTTTGGTTGATGGTCCGAGAGACCTCCCCCAATTCCTGTTGCTGAAACCTCTTTCTACCAACCATCCCTTTACAGACCATTTGACACCATTCTGTCCAGCATGGCAAATTATTACTTCAGACAAATGGGTGCTGGAAATTATCACCACCAGTTAGTCCATCCAGTTCACCTTCATTCCCCCCACCTACTCTCACGAGCACCTTCTGAGGCAGGAAGTAGACCATCTCCTGCACTTGGGTGCAGTAGAACCAGTATTGGTACAACACAGAGGGAAGGGCCTTTATTCCCATTATTTCTTAACCTAGAAAAAGACCGGGGGTTGGAGGCCCATTTTTGATCTGAGAAACGTAAACAAATTTGTCAAAACACATTTATCAGGATGATTACTTTAGCAACAGTAATCCCATGAGGGGACTGGTTTTCGGCCCTTGACCTGAAAGACTCATACTTTCATGTCGCCAGACATCCATCACACAGGTGGTTCCTCCAGTTTGTTTTGGGACAAGACCACTATCAGTACAAGGTACTGCTCTTTGGCCTCTCCACAGCCCCTCGAGTTTTTTCCAAAGTTCTAGCAGTGGCCCATCTATGCAATCAAGGGGTCATGATATACCCATATTTAGATGACTGTCTGCTCAAAGCCCCCACTTGGGAAGAAGCCATACAAAAGACAACGTCACTCTTTACAAAACTCGGTCTCCAAATAAACATTCAAAAGTCAACAGTGACACCAGTACAAGAACTATAATTCATTGGGACTCATTAGAACTTGTTAGCGGCGAAAGCTTCCCTACTGTCACGCAGATTTGTCACTCTAGTGTATCTGATGAATGCTACAGTGAACAGTCCACAAACATCTTCCAGGACTTGCCTCCAACTACTGGGCCACCAGGCCTATGTTTGAACCCTAGGCTGCATGTTCACTATTACACCTTTCAATGAAAGTAGCCTTCCTTGTCACCATCACATCCACAAGACGCATAGGAGAATTTTCAAGAACAAGGTCACTCTAAGATTGCATCCTAAATTTCTACCTAGTGTACCCTCTGTGTTCCACCTCAACTAACCTATCAGTCTTCCTGCATTCTTCCCTAAGCTTCATAAGAACAGGCAAGAAGCGGCACTTCATTCTCTAGATGTCAGAAGGGCACTAGCCTTTTATCTCAAAAGGACTAAACCATTCAGGTAGGCACCAAAACGGTTTCTGTCGACTACACAGAAATCTAAAGGAGAAGCTATATCTAAGGAGAGACTCTCCAAATGGATTGCAGAGTGCATTCATCTCTGCTACAGCCAAGACAAACTACAACCCCCACCGGGGGTTAGAACGCATTCTATCAGGTCGCTCTCCACGTCGGTAGCCTTCCTTAATGCTGTGCCTGTTACGGACATATGTAAAGCAGCCACTTGGTCCTCAGCCCACACATTCATTCAGCACTACACAATCGAGCAAAATTCGACATCTGACACTTTATTAGGACTCACGGTCCTATCATCGATCACAGATCCAACTCTGAAGCCACTCCCTTCCACTGAGGGGCACTGCTCTACAGTCACCTGAAGTGGAACACCCATAAGGACAGCACTCGAAGAAGAAGCGAGGGTTGCTCACCTCATGTAGTAACTGAGGTTCTTCAAGATGTATGTCTCTGTGGGTGCTCCACTACCCATCTTCCTCCCCTCTACTTCGGAGTTTTTGCAAGGTCCTCTGCAGTTGAGAAGGAACTGAGGTGGGGGTTGGCCACCTAGCGCTAGTTAACCGCCGCTACAGGTGCGAGACGGAGAGAGCCCATGTGCAGCCCAACCGAGTACTGCTGTCAAAGTTCTCTGACTAGAGGCACGGGGCGCCCAGTCACCTGAAGTGGAGCACCCACAGGGGGACACATCTTGAAGAACCTCAGTTACTGCACAAGGTGAGTGACCCTCTCTTTTGCTCTAAACGCTTTATTCCTTCTGCAAAATAAACCATCCTTTAGGAAAGCTGTTTTGTCACTGTATAACACTGGTTAGAGACTCCCAAAGGGAAGAACTGCAGGTTGTCAGAGCTCACTCAGACTTGCTGGGTATGCATGATTGCTACACAGGGTTGATGGTCTAAGGCCCAGTCTAATTAGAGGTAGAACAGCGGAATTCGGGCCTGGGATTGGTAAAGGCACAAGGTCTGACACCTGAGGGACTACACTCAGAGAGACTAGGTAGGGGACAGAGGTGCAGCTAGCCCGTACCATTATAGAACTATATGTATATTCCCCAAGGTGAATAGCGTACTATCCTTTTCTGGAAGGAACAATACAGACAGATAATCTGTGTTCAAAATTTTTCATTTCTTTGTACTAAAGCAATTTTCTGAACATAATTAGCAGAAATGTTTACATGACTTTCCTCTTTAAAAGTTTTTAAACATTTCCCCTGAACTGTTTGCAGTCTAGACAGTGGAGCACTGTGCTAGGGCACAACAGCATGAAAATGAAACCATGGCTCCATTTCACTCTTTGTTCAAGTTAGGTGAAATGCACAAAGTAAACAGTATTTCAGTTGTAGCAGGGTAAGGCATAAGTACAGAAATTGATAATGTGGAAAACATTGGGAAACATTACTTCTGTTTTTGTTTTGTTCCACTGATGGCTCTTGTCCTTTCTGGAGGCTTCTGTTTATACTCTCCTCCTACACAGCAATGGCAGGGAAGGCAGCTGTGTTCATTTTTTCCAGCTCTTTGTACAGGCATCCAGCCGCTTCATTGAAATAAAGAACCTGGGCACCTGTCAAAGTAGCTTGAAGCAAGGAGATGGAGGCAGCCTCATGATGCCTGCCAGCTCTCATGGACAACCAGAAGCTCCTTGTGAATCATCAGTGGTCCATAGTTTGAGAACCACTGACACAAAGAGTTATCAGTAAACAGCTAAGGCAGTTTGTTGTTTACAAATATGGCTTTAAATCTGCCATTGTCCCTTTTAAAAGCAATGTTAAACTTTAGTCTCTGATTATAACCGCGGATTTTGTGGGCCAGTGAAAGACTGGGCAAATCTCATTGGAGATTATTTAACTTTTCAATTTTTTCCTGATGCGGAATGTGTGTGACGCAGCCATGGAATGTCTCTATATGGATTACCCTTCAATCATTTTACCTCTAATATTTTCCTTTAATATTTATAATGATCTGGCTTAACCGTAACATAGAAGGACAAATCCTTTTGACTAACCTAGCTCATTCTCTTCATTGCAAATCCCAGCTGTGGGTTGGAGTGTTAAATTCTGAAGGCTTTTGTCATCTGGCTGATAGCATGCAGAAAATCTGGAAATGGTGCGTGAATGAGTATTCTGTATGTTTAAGGTCATGTATCCTTAAAAGTAGGGGTCTCTTCTTCTCCTCTCTGTTTGTAACTTGAATCCAGCATAAGAGTGTGTTTATACAGTTGTTGGATAGTTGTTTTTAGGTTCGTATTGGAATCTTGTGCATGGATGGCAGTGTCTGAACTGCATCAGCTTTGATGTGTCAGATATATTGATGACTATCCTGTTTACAGCTGTTGTCTTCTCTTGTAAATTCCATCACACAGCTGCCAAGAACTGTTATGAACTGACCATCCACTTAATTTAAGTTAAATGACCTTGTTACCTATTGCTTCCCAGTTACCATGCACATTGCAATAAATCTTGGGGATATAAATACCTTTCATGCTACTTATATATTATTTTTTCTCTTCTCAGTTGTGAACATATTTAAAGTAAGACTAAATCATTGTTCTGTTTTGTATAAACATTAATATAATGTGGTGTTTGTGAGAAGGATATTTTACTTTTAAAAATAAGGATTGGTTCTTGTTCTGTGCTGTATGGAGGTAAGAAATTCAGGGTTCTGGTTAGTAATCTGAATGATAACTAGTGTTCTTTTAGTATCTTGGCCAAATTATCATTGTTGCGTTTTAGAAGGCCTGATTTTGTAGGACTTGATCTTGGCTTAAAAAAAAAATTATTCCTATTGTGTATCTAGCAGCAATGTGTCTACTTTATTTTAAGTAACCTAAGTGGTTTAGAATTAACAGGAAGTGCTTAGTGAAAGGGCGTGGCTCAGAAATATGGCTAACTGCATTATCACACAATATCTCCTATGAAGTTAGAGCCTGTGATTCCTCATAAAGGATGAGGCTGGCTCCTGGAATCCTGGCAGACAAGCAGCTGTGTTGGTCTTATACATATATGGGGCAGCTGTAGAACCAGCTGTCGTTTGGTGTGAATCATACAGCAAGAGATGCTGTAAATAGACCTGTGCGGGGTAATCTAATACCTGACAGCCTTTGGATTTTTACTGCAGGACTTTTTTCTGGTTCAGATAATTTTTAAGGCAGAGTACTAAATAATTAGTGAATATATATATATAGAGAGAGAACACAAACAATTTTTTACAAAGAAAATCTTGATCTTTCTATTTATCCACAGGATCTTAATAATTAATTCATAAAGCGCCAGATCCTGCTCCCATGGAAGTTAGTCCGTTGGCTCTTTGGTCCTGATTCCCAATGAAGACTTTTATTTCTGAGCATAAATGGTTCTGAAGTGCAGTTCTGTAAACTGGGTAGGCACTGACACTGCACGGCACTAAAGAATGAACAAACAGTGCTTTTACCTCGTACCAGTGATAAGCAGTAAAGTGCAGAACTGTAAGGAGAGTAAAGCTATCAAATATCATGTAACCCAACCCAAACCTGGGGATACAATTAAGTAAAAGAAAATTGTAATAGTAGATTTTCTCCACTGTGAGAGAGAAACAGTTTTTTTTCTGAACATCTGTGTGTGTATAGTAAAGAGACTGCAAATTGAAAAGATTTAGGTCCAGATTTTCAAAAGCACATGGCTCCCATTTAGGGCAACTTAAAGGCCAGAAGTGCAAAAGAGAACTGAGCTATTTTGAATCTTTGGTCCTTACAGTTTAATTCAGATCAGCAATTCTTCTAAAACTTGCAAGCAGTCTTTCATGGGTTGCAGCATAGCTTTTCTGGTGAGAATAAAGAAAATGTACAAGTTGACATGGAGAGGGAACAGATATGATTGTAGCTTTGGAGCAACAGGTTAATCAGTCCTCTCCTGCCCCCCAAATGGCATCCTGTTTTTAAAATGGGGCCCCATTTGGAATGGTTTCTAATGAATAAGTTAGGATTTAACAGCTGGCTTTGTAATCTGAGAACAGACTTGGGTTCTCAGCCTCTAGGCATTAGAAGGTTATGCATATCATGGAAGTAATGTGGGGCGGGGGGGGAGTGCCATCTCTCTCTAGCCTTCTTTCCCTCTTGCTTGCCTAGAGCGTTCCCTGTTGATAAATCATTGGTGTGCATTAGTGTCCGTTGTCTGCAACGGGACCTGCTCTCTCAGCTGCAGCAAGTATGCTGTGCCTGCAGAGTTGTGAAATGCATGAAAATGAATATAATAGTATAAGTCCTGTCACTTGAATTCCCTGCATGTTCACAGCATAGGAATATGTACTAAAGCTGTTCTCTACGTTTCTGCAGGTGCTGGAAGATAATGACTATGGTCGTGCAGTGGACTGGTGGGGCTTAGGAGTCGTAATGTATGAAATGATGTGTGGCCGGCTCCCTTTCTACAATCAGGACCATGAGAAGCTCTTTGAACTTATCCTCATGGAGGAGATTAGGTTTCCACGCACTTTGTCACCTGAAGCAAAATCTCTTCTGTCAGGTTTGCTGAAGAAGGATCCTAAGCAAAGGTGAGACCATTTTTTAAAAATCAAACATTTTAATTTCTTTGGTTTTCTGATGATAGCTGTGGTTGCATTTCTTCTTTGGATCCACCACATCAAAACAAACACAGGGGCACAATCAGCTGAGGTACTAAACCAGAACGAACACATATGCCTGTCCAGTTGATTTCAGAAAATGAGTTAAAATGCATCCGAAGAAGTGAGGTTTTTACCCACGAAAGCTTATGCCCAAATAAATCTGTTAGTCTTTAAGGTGCCACCAGACTCCTTGTTGTTTGAGTTAAAAATAGTTTCTCTCCAATGTTGCTGTTGGGAAGACCCACACAATCGGAGCAAATTGTGCATTCAACCACACTTTGTATATTGTCATTTTCACTAAGGGCTAGTCTACACTTGCAACGTTAAAGCGCTGTCGTGGCAGAGCACTGGGGGAGAGCTCTCCCAGCGCTCTAAAAAACCCACCTCCACGAGGGGCATAGCTACCAGCACTGGTGCACTGTCTACACTGGCGCTTTGAAGCGCTGAAATTTGCTGCACTCAGTGGGGTGTTTTTTCACACTCCCGAGCAAGAAAGTTGCAGCGCTGTAAAGTGCCAGTGTAGACAAGCCTAAGTACACAAACGAAAAGGGAAAAGATGTTTTCCCCTCTAATTTCTTTCAGTGTTTGAGATAAAAGTGTGATTTTATTTTTTATTTTTTTTAATGACTGTGTCCCTTTAAACATTGCAGATTTATCAGGAACTAATAGTAGTTGAAAGATCCAACAAACTGGTTTCTTCTTTATTGTTTTAAGTGTTGATACAGACTGCGTACTCCAAATGGAAACAGGAAGCAAATGCAGTAACAGAGAAGCAGAATTGCAAAATACCCTGGCTGCCATTGTATTGTACAGAAGGCTGTAGCCCAAACAAACCATATAACCCATTCTAGATCACAGTGAACATGACTTTTGCATGCTCTACAGTGACTGCTTTCACATCTACAATTTTATTTTCTGTTTCTTAGTTCCATATTGAATCAGTGGGCTGTTAGCAGCGCTGCTCCGCAACTTAGTGGGTAGATGGTGTTATCTGTGCTGTGTAGTTGGCCCTCTTTCTCTGCTCCCTTCTTGTTGGTTTTTTAATGATAACCACAAGTGAAAGATGTCATACACAACAAGCAGTATAATAGCGCAGGATTACAAAGGACATTTGACCTTCCCACAGTGACCTAGCCCTGCTTACAACCAATTGTACCATTGCCAATCCCACACATACAAAAATAACATGTCTGTCCCCAGAAAACTGAGATTGACCCTGAAATTGAGACTTACATTTTTTTTAAGGCGTGGTGTTTTTGGTCTGTCCTTTGATTGATTGATTGATTTTGAACTTCCCATGCCCAGACTCCTGTGTGCGTGTGACATTAGTCTTGCCAAGTCTCACAAATGTATAGCAAGGTGACTGGCCCCCCCCTGCAGGCGCTTTAGCTGGAGGACCCCACTTAGTTCGGGACTCCATTGTGGTAGGTACAAACACTTAGTAAGAACCAGGCCCTGCAAGGGATCAATCTAGTTCAAAGCGTAATGGTGATATTAGGAACTGGAACTGGGACTTGCCATACTCATGCAGGGGCTACCAAACATCCATCAGATGGGAATAATTTTTAATCCCTTCTGAGCTGGGTAGGATCCAAACCGGTAACCTACAAATGAGAGATTCTATAGTTTATTAGCAATACCCTGAGGAATCCAATTGCTATTAAATACTAACACTGCACCTGTGAGAATGAGGCTGCTTTCCAGAAAAGTTTGCATCTTAGATCAAGTTCTTACCTTTCTGTAGCTTATGCAGGCAGCCTCTTCCAATCTCTGGAAACACAGTCAAAATCTCCTTCAAGCTTCTCTGTCTGCCACACCCCCTTAACGGAGCAGCTCCTCTTAACCAAAATACAAACAATAAAATAAATATTAACACAACATTCAATTCACTTCTAGATGCAGTGTTTCGCAGTATAAAATAGTTCCAATTATTACTCCAAGGTTCTTATGCTAACTTTACGGTTGTATAGGTTTTCACTCCACACGAATCATCATCAGCAGGGTTTGAATGTACAACCTTCTGATCCATAGAACAGTGGTTCTCAAACTTTTTTTTCCGTGTACCACTTGAAAATTGCTGAGGGTCTCGGCGGACCACTTAATGATCTTTCTAAATGTTGTTTGTACTGTTAGCTAACTATTGTAAAGCGCTTTGGATAAAAGCACTATATAAAAAAAACTTAATAATAATTAACCTTTTTTTTTTGTTCTACAAATAAAAGCACACAACTCTTATTTTAATATCAGCAGTCTTACCTTTCTAAAGCGATGGATGCACCTTCTCTCCCCTGCCACGGCAGCCCCCGAGCTGGGGCTGGGAAGGTGGGGGGTCTCTCCCCAGCAGCTCCAACCCTGGAGCTGGGGAAAGTCGCCTCTTTCTCTGGCCGCCGCAGCCCTGCACATCCCAAATTCCCCCCACCCCCTCTTTCACCCCACTGCCCCCTCCCACCTACCCCTTATTCCCCCCAAGGCCACCACCTCACCTTACATGTGCATCTTCTCCAGGGTCCAGGTACCTAATAAGTGGAGCCACGCCTGCGCGGCTCCACTAATTGGGTGGGTGGCCCTTCATTTTCTTGTGTGCGGCCACCCAGGTGTGCACCTTTAGAAGGAACTATCCGCGGACCACAGTTTGAGAACCTCTGCCATAGAACATAGATATCTTCAGTGTCAGCTACAAGAATAAGCAGGGAGGCGGAAAGGATGCTGCTGTTCTCTGTGGACTAGCCAATACCAGGAGGCATGACATGCACACTGCTAGTTACTTTACACAAATATACATGACATAAATATTTGAGAGACAGCTGTGGAACAATGGCCGTCAGAATTCTTGGTTTCTCTGCCCAGCTCTGGGATCAGACTGTGGCCTAGTGCTTACAGACAGAATAGGCAGATGTAACAATGACTCTGTTTGGGTCATCTGCAGGGAACTGAACCTGGGACCTGTGGATGAAGTATGGCCCTATATTATTTGAGCAAAGGAGCCGTGTCTCTTAGTATCAAAGCAGTATCACGTCGTACATTCCTATATGTGGTCCAGCTCCTAGAGGGTGACACAGGATCATGCAATATTAGTGTAGGTTACAGAAGCATGTAATTTGCCGTGTTCCTCCTGAAAGACTTATGTGGAAAAGTCGCTGAGATTTGGGTCTCTGAGACCTGGTGTCACAGCCCTGGTCAAGCAACCCTTTGCTGAACACTCACTAGGCTGGTGTGTTTGAACCCACACATTGGGCCTGTGTACTTTCAAGCTTCCGTGAGTCACAGTAGGCTTCCGCCATTATGTCTGGCTCTTGCCTCTGGAATACTTCCTGGTCCCAGACTCTGTCAGGTATCCTTTTTTAGAAGTGGGACCCTACAGCTGAACCCTCCAGTTCTCCCAGTGGCTTAAGCAAAGCCTTACTCCTCTTATGCGCACACTGGTTTATAGTTTATCCCTTCAGGGACATGTGACAGTGAAGCCAGTAGACACAGACTTTGGAGAAGGATATCTAAAACAATTTACTTTAGACTGCACAAGAGCTATGCAGATCCCTGAAAAATAATAAACACCAGTATGCCATTTCCTGCTTCACTTTCCTCACCGCTCTTGAGCATTCTTTGGGATGTGGTCAGAGTCTTCAAAGGAGTCCAGGATCCTTCCTCTCCCTTTCTCCTCCAGATCATAGTCTTCTTTCAGACCCCTGAAACCACCATCCTTCAGCTCAGCCAGTCCAGCAAAGGTTCCATGTCTCTCAAAAAAAAGTCTTTGTTCCTCTCTCTCAAATTTCTCAGCCTCAGGGGGTTTTAAATGTTAGCAGTAAGACCTTGGCTCCTTCCTTCCCCTTTTGGGGATTTTCTCCTCCTCCTCCGGGGATATGAAGAGAACTGACTTCATCTAGGTTGCAGCTACTCCTTTGTTCTGTCATTCTGCTGACTTGTTAGTCTTTAATGACTGTCTCATTCCAAGCCAGACATTCAGGTGCCCGCTCTGTTTCCTTAACAGAAGGAGAGTTCATCGAGAAGATGCAGATGTGTATTCCGTGTGTGTGTGTGTGTACGCTCTGAAGCCAGAGAACTTTGCCTAGCCATACCCTGTGGTCCTAGTTCCTCCCCTGGCAGTATAAGGGTGCCACCACCCCAACCTTCTCAGCTCCTTCTCACCACCTGCGGCTAGCATTGGAGCTCAGTGCGGTGTTTTCGCCTCTCAGAAAACAGACTGAAAGCTGAGTTTTTTGTTTTCCTCTAGATAATAGTTAGAAGTATCTTAGGTTTAGTTTAGAGTTAGTGTAGTTGGCTTCCCTGTGTGATGCCCTAACCAAGGCTCAAGCATTGGCCATCGGGTGTGGGGGCCATCCCTAAGAGGGATCCCTACCCAAGGTGCTTGTTTTCGGTACATTAAGAAACAGCGCTCCATCTGTAAAGTCATCCAAGAGTGCTGCTTGTGAGCTGCCTACATGGAACATAGCTGCATCTACTCAAGGAAAACAGTTACTTGCCTATATTGTAACTGTTCTTTGAGATGTGATGAAGATGTGTATTCCACAACCCACTCTCTGTCGCCTCTACACCAGCCTTTATACTCTTGACATTTGAGGGGGTCTGGCCGACGCTACCCTTACATAACCAGTGGAGAGTGGGTGCACACCTATGTGGAATATATGTCTGCATCTCATCTCTAAGAACAACAGTAACAGTACAGGTTGATAATTGGTTTTTTTCATAGATTCAAAGACCAGAAGGGACTATCATGTAGTCTGATCTCCTGCATAACTCAGGCCGTAGAACTTCCCCAAAATAATTCCCAAAGCAGATCTTTTAGAAAAAAATCCAAGCTTGAAAAAATTTCCAGTGATGGAGAATCCACCGTGACCCTTGTTCCAATGGTTAATTACTCTGTGTTAAAAAAATTATGCCATATTTCCAGTCTGAATTTGTCTAGCTTCAAT